GATGGAAGAAACATTTAAGTTTACATATGAGTTTTATTAAATTTACTTTAAATGTTAAAATTGTGGGTTTCTATTAATAAGTTAGTGGGAAGATTAAAAGTCTATTGTAATTGGAAGGCCAGGAGATAGTGGCTCATAATAGTATTTACAAATATCATTTACTTTCCTAGAATAGTAGAAGTCTTTGAGTCTATATAAAGACCAAGATTGTATTTTATTTAATAACAAGTTATAAAAGTATTTGCTTCCTTTCTAACAATAATAACCTGCTTAATGAATCTCTATTTGGACACTAATTTTATTAGTTAATAGTTGTGATCAACAAAGAAGAATATATGTAAGAAATATTATGAACATAGTACAAATTACTCACTTGCAGATAGATGGCTCAAAGTAGAAGTACTGATGTATGCAATGTAACTATTTTGAGACGGAAAATTATCAGAAAAGTTTTGTGTTGAACAATGAAACAAGAATTAATTAATAGTCTTCTCTTTCAATTATTTTACAGAATATATTTTATATTCATGTATTTTTTATTGAATAAAAACAAATTTACTTTGTCCACAAATTCTAACTCAACTAACATAAATTCATTTTGTGAGATTGAAGGTCATAATGTTTGATTCTTCTTTGTCAATCAATGGTAGAAAAGAATTTCACTACTACGAAAAATATATTTAACAACAGTTGAAAAAAAATATATAATCACGCAGTTGTTGTTATGTAGAATATTATGGTAAATGTGTTACTTACTATCACATCTTGAGACCATTGTAGTATATTGAAAAGTGTGTGTGATATCACAATGGTTAGTTAACTCAACCGTTGTCATAGGCTTAAAAGTCTCAGGTTCAATTCTCAGCATCGATATTTTAGAACATAAATTACAATTCACCACGGTTAATATAGATAACCATTGTGGAAAGTACCCATAGTTTATTATATAATATGTATATTGCTTGCTTGTTTTTACATAGCATACAATAAACTAAACTTCATTTATATAATATGTATAAGAATTTAAATAACAAAATATTGCTTAGTCACAAGAAGTATTTTTCTTGTGACTTAGCAATGTTTTGTTCTTATTTTGAGAGTATTTGTAAACAACAACAACAACATACAACAACACAACAAATACATGCACCAAAATATTAAAAAAAAACATACATTTTAACAACAAAACACTAACAACATACAATATCACAAGATATATTAAATTGTTTCAAGAATGCACCTTTTGTTGAAAATAATCGTGGAACTGTAACAAATTATGAAGTTCATCTAGTTTGTGATGCTATGATAAAGAAACACAAGGTGGATGAAGTTTCCATAATAACTTTATACTTCTTGTATTTTTTTCATAGAAATACAAACCATATGTACCATAACCAAAGTATGCGCTTTGTTAAAGTCGTGAAGCTGAATCTGAAAAAATGAGAATATTCAACACCTTATCAACTCATAATATAAACATGCTACCAGCATCATCACCATATATCATCCCCTTAACCATCGAACATCATAATCTGTAAGGAAACACAACAAACTTCAATCATAAGCATCATCACAATAAAACCAACAACCATAACACCACATTGTAACACACTCACAAACATACACGGCCAAACAGATTTTAAAACAAATTTAATTTACAAAACAAACTCACAAAAACAAATTCAATCAAAATAGATAACAATTCTTTTCACTTTAATCCACACCATACATATCATTTGATCAAAGGCCAACTATACACAAAATGTTTTCCAGTGATTCATCAAATAAGTTCAACAAAATTTCACCAAAACCCTGGAGTTTTCCCTCTCTTTTCTAATATATTCTCATAATCTTCAACTTTCCACATGTATAAACAAACTCTATAAAGCAATCTACTGACTCATTGCAATGAATCTATCATTTTCCTACTGTTACGCTGTTGAAGTTGAAACCAAACCCTAAAACCATAATCCTAACTTCTAACATCAACAACATCCAGAAGAAGAGTAGAAACAAGAGAGTAAGTGAAGAGTAAAGAAAGATTGAAAGAGAGAGGAGGAGAACTTACCAACTTCGTTGCCGTATGAGTTTGCATCAGACGTTGCTCCGGTTAGGTATCATTTAAGCTTTCTTTAAGAGTTTTCTGTTTATGGGTAGTGGTCACCGTAGAAACCTGATGTGCTTAAGTTGATTATATGTTAGGGTTTTCTTTAGAGAGAAACATATGTTATGAACTGGGCGACAAATACTTTCATTTATATATAAAAAATATATCACTTTTCATCACGGTTGGCAAGACGAACAATGATGATATATTATTTTAAATAAAAATCAAAATATATCACAATGGTTGAACAAAACAACCGTAGTGATATCTCTTTTTTTATTTTTAAAAATAAATAAAACAGAAAAGGCACACCTTAACATTAAAAGAATAAAATATTTGAGGACGCGGAGGTTCAAACCCATGAAAGCTTGATTATATCACCATGGTGAGGTTACCAACCGTTATTATATCCTAACAATTTTTAATAAAAAAGTTAGCACATGAGTTTGGAGATGTCACCACGGTGTTTGGAAGAACCGTGGTGACTTGGGTGTTAATGGATGCGCATTTTGTAGTATGTCAATATGGTGGAAGGACATTTATTCAATGGACTCACATTTGGAATAGGATCAAGATCAATAGTTTTCCACTTCAGTTTTGTGTAACTTAGCAATGGAAATAGGATAGACTTTGGGAGTCATCATTGGATTGGCTCTGCTCCACCGAGATGTTAGTTTCCAAGTTTGTTTGCATCCACATCTTTTTTTCAATTCTAGAGTCAAAGACTTAGGTATTTGGTTTAAAGACAGTTGGGCTTGAGATATTGGTTTGAGTGCCAATGATCTTTAGAAATCTTGTAAACTGTGAAACATGTACCTGAAATGGAGGATATCTTTGTTTGGTGGCGTTCCAAAAGAGGATTCTCAATTAAGACAAGTTATGGGAGGTTGCAATAAATTAGTAATGCTGGTCAGGGAGTGGATGAAGTCTTGGTGCGTATGATGGCTAGCCTGTGGAAAGCAAAAGCTCAAAGCAAAGTGTTGATTTTCTTTTGAAGATTTGTTCTATCAGATTACCAACTAGGGTGAATTTTCCAAGGCAAGGATTTTTTATTAGTTCTCATAACTTAGTTTGTCGTCTTTGTTTCAGCGAAGAAGGATGCAAAACACTAATTTCATTCATGTATCGTTAATAAGATGGTGTGGAAGGGGACTTGCAGATGACTTAGAGTCCTAACCATCATACAACGTAATATACCTACTAAGACTTCAGAGTCTTCCTGCCATTGCAAGAGGAAGACACACACTTGTACTTGTACTTTTTAACGAGCACACATACACACATACGCACACACACACATTATAGAAAGAAGTACATCACTTTCTATCCAAAAAAAGTAAGACATATACAAGTAGAAGGGAAAATTTTATCGAATTACTATAAGACATGCCATGTTGTACGGGATATAATGTTGGGTAGTTAACAATCAACACGAAAATAAAGTAAATATAGTAGATATAAGAATGTTGTGTCGGGCGTGTGGTGAGACTAAATAAGATAAGATTAAAATTTATAATATTAGAAAGAGTGTTGGGTAGCTCTTATAGGAGAAAAGATTATGAAAAATATACTTAGGATGTTTGAGCATTTAGATAGAAGACATGTAGGTTATGTGGTAATGAGAGTAGATCAGACATATTGAAGTCAAACAAGGAATACCTAAAAAGAAAAACAAAGAAAAATTGTTAAGAAATATCTCGAGATTAACAATGAAACATAATTCTAAATAAAAAATTATGGCAAAAATTGATCATTATAATCGATTACACTTATTGAAAAAACATTTATTGTTGCTTTTCTTATAAATACTATTATCGCAATAATTTGTTAATAATTTTTCAATAAAATAATAAAATATAAACAAAAGAAATTCCATAATTTAAATGAAAAATATGTTTTTTATAGATTTCATTTGCTATGTTTATAGGACATTTTATTATAGGAGTATTTATTTGCTAAAATTAATTTGCAACTTAGTTTACTTAGACGAATCGAAGGGTTAACCAAATTTATCTACTTGAAAATGTGTGTTTTAAATGATATGGACCTAACTAATTTGGTGTGAACAATGAAACAAGAATTAATTAATAGTCTTCTTTTTCAATTATTTTAACGAATATATTTTATATTAAATTTGTATTTTGTATTGAATAAAAACAAATTTACTATGTCTGCAAAGCATAACTTAACTGACAAAATGTTTAATTCTTCTTTGTCAATCAATGGTAGAAAATAATCTCTACGGGGGAAGGACATTTGTTCAGTGGACTCACCTTTAGAAGGATCAAGATCAATAGTGTTCCACTCCAGTTTCGCGTAAACTTAGCAATGGAAAAAGCATAGACTTTTGGAGGCATCGTTGGATTGGCTCTGCTCCACCAGGATGTTAGTTTTCAAGTTTGTTTGAATCTGCATCTTTTCCATATTCTAGAGTCAAAGACCTAAGCATTTGGTTTGAAGACAATTGAGCTTGAGATATTAGTTTGAGCGCCAATGATTTTTCGAATGGAGATGGAATCCATTTGAATGTGATGTTGGAAGTCTTGCAAAATGTGAAACATGTACCATAAATGGAGGATATCTTTGTTTGGTGGCGTTCCTGAAGTGGATTCTCAATCAATCCAAGTTATGCGAGGTTGCAAGAAATTAATAATGTTAGTCACGGAGTGGATGAAGTCTTGGTGCGTGTGATGGCTAGCCCGTGGAAAGCAAAGTCTCCAAGCTAAGTGTTGATTTTCGGTTGGAGATTGATTCTAACACATTACACATGCACATGCACATGCACATGCTCATACACATGCATGCTTGCATGCATGCAACCATAGCGTGTATTTTCATCATATATTTTATGTTATATATTTTTCTTGATGGATCTTTAACAGGTGAAAGTTCAATGATAAAGAAACGTTACATTCACTTGACAGAAGAAATGCTGAAAGAAAACCCAAACATATGTACTTATGACGAACCATCCCTCAATGCACGTCAAGACATATTAGTTGGACAATTACCAAAGCAAGGTGAAGAAGCTGCATCAAAAGCCATAAAAGAATGGGGAAAACCAAAATCAGAGATAACTCATCTCATATTCTGTACAACTTCAGGAGTTGACATGCCTGGTGCTGATTATCAACTCATCAAACTCTTAAACCTGAATCCATCTGTAAAACGATTCATGTTATATCACCAGGGATGTTTTGTTGGTGGAACTGTTCTTCGTCTGGCCAAAGATCTTGCTGAGAACAACGTTGGTGCACGTGTTCTCGTTGTTTGTTCTGAAATAATTGTTGATACTTTCCGTGGTCCGAACGAGAATCACATAGATTCTTTAGTTGGACAAGCACTCTTTGGTGACGGTGCTTCATCTGTGATAGTTGGAGCAAACCCTGATACAACAATTGAACGTCCACACTTGATTTTTATGGGTTAATTTTTATGTCGTGTGATATAATAAATAAGACATCTCTTTCTGCTACTTGATGTATCTTGGTGTTATATGATGGACATCATGGTACATGCCAGGAGGATCATCATGCTTATAGAGAGAACTTTTCTCTCACTTATTTTTATATAATTAATTTATTATTTATTGGTATTATTATTTGTTAAACTAGTAGAAGACATCTGAGTCCGCACCATTAAATTAATTAATTAATATCTTTGATAAAATTTAAAGGAAAATGTATGATATGGAAGAGTTGCACTTTCACAACACATTACTTTCATTCTATTATACATCCATGCATTAAAAAAGACTAAAAATTAAATAAAAGATAAGACCAAAAATTAAACAAAAGATAAATGTATTTACACTACTAAAAATATGATATTTGAGAAAAGACCCTTACATCAGGTATAAAAATAAATGATATAAAAATATTTGTTAAAAAATTTTACATCAGACTTTTATTTTCCCTGATATAAAAAATATGTGATTTAGAGGAAAATATAACAAGGTGGCATTTTAGTAAATAAAATGAAAAAAAATTTTTATAAGAGATTTTACATCCGACCTTTACTATCCACCAATGTAAAAAGTCCAGTAATAAAATAATACAAACACGGTGACAGTTTTGTAAATAAGGTGCATTTTTCTAAAAAAACTGGCCCTTACATCAGACAATATGCCAATCAATGTAAAAGACCGTTTTTATTATAAAAAAAAAATTGGCCCTTACATCGGGCCATCAAGCCAACCGATGTAAAAGATCGTTTTTATTTTTAAAAAAATTGGTCCTTACATGACCCGATGTAAAAGATGGGCCCTTACATCGGGCCATGAAAGTAACCGATGTAAAAACCTTTATCAACTTCACTAAACCCTATTCTTACTATTCATACGTTTCATTCACAAAACCTTCATCTTTATCGCTGCGCCGCTCTGCAACAAACCCCTCCATCTAAACCCGTCCTCCGCTTCCGTCTCCCTCGTCTCCCTCCGCCCTCCGCCTCCGGACGTCGCACACCGTCCTCTGCCCTCCGCCTCCGGACGTTGCACACCTTCCTTCCCCCTCCGCCTCCAGACGCGAAAGCCATACTGTTAACCGCGCGATTCCAGCCCTCCGCCTCCGTCTCCGTTTGTCTCCCACCATACGACCACCATACGACATGAAACCCACATTGTCCTCTGCACGATTCCATCCCTCTGCCTCCATCTTCGTTTGTCTCCCATCCTACGCGTCCGTCTCCAACGTCCCCGCGTTCTTCTGTGTCTCTCCGTCTCCCTCCACCTCCGACGGCGTCCCTCTGTTTCCGACAGGTTAGATTTAATATTATTTTTACTGATATCCAGATTTATATTACATTTTATCTAAAGGAATTGATTTAAATTAGAACAAATTAAAATGTGTTGTTAATCTTGCATGCTAACCACCAACAAAGTTTTAATCTCGCGACATCACATTATGTTGCAATTTTTATGTTTAAAAGAATCCCTTATGGATTCTTATGGATTCTTGTAGTAGTGCTACTCTCTCGCTGGACTTCCTATAAATGTATATTTCTAACCAAACTAGAAACATTCAATGACGGTTAAGTAGGACGTATTCTATTTCTATATTATTTGTGACGGAGTTTCCTATATTATTTGTGACGGATGTTAAAAAACATTAGTTATTAAAAAAGTATATTAGAAATAAAATTTTCTAATGATTTAACTATGTATTCATTAATTTCGGAACATAGGTATGGATCGTAGTTGGATGAGAGCTAATCGATTAAGTGTTGAGTACGAACATGGAGTGAAGGAATTTCCACGGTTTGCTGAAAGTAATGCTGAAAAAAGTCTTCATGCGATGTTTCTCTGTCCATGTGTTCGTTGTGCAAATAAAGAACCAAAACTTATTAAGAAAGAAATCATGGATCATCTAATTTTTGTAGGGATCTGTCAAATTTATACACAATGGATATGGCACGGTGAAGTAGTAGAAAATTCAAATGTGTCCCAAAGAGATGATGTTAGTGTCGATATGGATGATCGTTTAGAAGACATGATGCGTGATATTGGACAAGATTCGTTTAAGAGGGCACATGCGTATGATACTTTATGCAGTGACAAGGATAAACCTTTGTACCCGGGATGCACAAATTTTACATGTTGCCAACCGTGTTAAAATTGTTTAATCTGAAGGTGAATAACGGGTGGACTGACAAAAGTTTTACCGAATTTCTTGAATTATTGACATAAATGCTTCTAGAAGGTAACGTAATGCCAATTCGTTATTACGAGGCGAAGAAAATATTATGTCCGATGGGTTTGGAGTATGAAAAGATACGTGCATGCCCTAATGACTACATATTATACCGAAAAGAGTATGTAAAATATAATCATTGTCCGAAGTGCAAGGTGTCACGCTACAAAAAGAAAGATGGTGATTCTAGTGAAGATGAGGTGGTCAAAAAGGGTCCTCCCGTGAAAGTGGTATGGTACTGTGATACGGTGGGAGAACTGACTTGAGGTTTTGCGTTTGTATTTGCAAATATTTCGGTTGAGCAAGAGTCGCCACCGACTTTTTATTTTATCCTAAGGAAAGGTTAAAAAGCACAGCAAAAACCTTTTGAGATGTTTTCTTGGGTTCGGGGAGTAGATTATAGAAAGGGAAGGTATTAGCACCCTTTCTATCCATGGTTATCCATGGGCTCTTAGTTGCTCGCTTAGATCACTTGCCTTTTGTTTTCAATTGTTTTAAATGGTGCTTGAGTGTGTGGGTTTGAAAATGTTTTGAAAAGAAGCCAATGTGGTGGCAACCTTTGTAATGATCCATGTGGGGATGTATACAAAGATGTACGTCTTTTGAAAAGGTTTTCATTTGTTTTGTTTTTGAAAGTGTTGTGAAGTGTGGTTTTAGAAAATAGGCAAGTGTTTTGTTTTTGCGAGTTTGATTCAAGTAACTAAGAGGTTATCTACTCCTAAATTTCTCAAAGATTATTGCTACGTTTTAACCCTTTTAACAAGTTTGTTCCACCATTGTATTTGGTGGACAACCTTGTGTTAGGATGTGAAAGGGACGGGTGTGGGTCATCGTTTAGACCATAATTGCAACGGTGCCAAGTATCTTTGGGCATTTTCTTTAAGGGACTTGATCATTTGTTTTGGAAGTATTTTGAAAATGTTATCGAGGGACTATGATCATTCAATTTTGTTGTTTTGCCCAAAGAGACTTAACATGCAATATGGCCCAATTTTGAAAGGCAACAAGTGGAGTACCCTAGGGGTGCAAGTGTGATTTGTGTATCCATTTTCATGCTCATTTGTCTTGAGATTAGGTCACAACTATTTTTTGTCGTTTTTTCGCATACAAACCCTAATTCTAACATGTTATCATTAGAAAGCAATAAAGTGCGAAAATAAATTTACTAAGCTATTACAAAACCAAATATGGGAAGGGGGGTACAAATGTTCAAATGGGGATATTGACAAGAATTTAAATCTAAATTATTACATCATTTTTGAATATTTGCAAAGTAAATAAATTGCATAATTAAATGGAAATGAAGTAAATATGCAAAATGCAAAAAGAAAGTTTTTATATGTATGAAAAAAAGTATGATTTATGTAAAATAAAATAAGAAAATAAAAAGGTATTATTTTGGGTGTTTTCAACTTTTAGGGCAAAAACCCTAATTTTAAAGAAAATGCATTACTATTTAATCTAATACAAGTATTTTTTATTATGTACAAAAATAAAAATAAAATGAAGTATATTATGAAAAAAGTATTTTTGTATCAAATATTAATAAAAATGAAAAAATTCAAGTATTTTTATATTTTAACTTAAATATATTAATATACATATATATATATATATATATATATATATATATTAAGTTCTTAAATATGCATTATATACAAAATAATATATATATTTAATATTTTAATAAAATAAATAAAAAAAGTATTTTTATGTGAAACATTTTCAGAAGGTAAATAAAAAAAAATGTATTTACACTATTTTTTATATTTTATTCTAAATAAAAATATGTATATATTTATGTATAAACAAAAGAAATAACTAAATAAATATGCAATAAATTCAAAAAAATGATGAGAAAAATATTTTCAAAATTTTAATGTGCTGAGAAAAAATAAATGAGTCAAATAAAAAAGGAAAAAGTCAAAAATGTTAAGAAATGAAGCAAATGGGCTCAGGGGGTGTAATAGCAATTATGTGGTGTGAATAAGAAAAAACACACAAGCCCAGCCCAATGCCACTGTCTTCAACCTCCAGCATAAATGTTTGAAAAAACGCGCGCCATGTTCATCATCTTCCAACTCTCGATTCCTGGCTTTTTAGCAAAAACTCATAACACAACAAATGTTCAGCATAAAGAGACGATTCTAACCATGTATGGAACTTGACCTGACTCTCTAAGATGAGGGAGAATTTCTCCTCCCCCAAATCCTAACCTAGTTTTTCTGCCATTTTTAAACTCCAAATTCTCTCTACTCAGGCAAAAGAAATGAAATGTAAAGATATGTACATGTTCAGGGCTATGAGTAGAACCTTGTTTCTTCACAAACTTAAGACTAAAGATACATAATAAGAGAGATACGAGTTCAAAGTTTTACCTGTGCAGTTGAACTTCTATCTGGAGAATGAGGAACTTCTGGTGCAAGGTAATGATTGGAAAAGCTTCCTTGAGGTCCAGGGATGCTGTTTCAATGCTTGCTTTGTCTTGAAACTTCTTGTATCGAGCTGTGGAACTTCAACTGCAAAAGGAAAAAATGAAAATGGTGGAAGCTGTTAGAGGGATTACAGGTCAGGTTTTAGGTCATGGTTAGCTTGCATACATGCTAGGGAATGTGTATGAATTGATTTTGGTAAGAATGCTCGAGGGAAATGGGAGTTGGCACTCAAACTGCAGAGGCAACTCTGTTTTTGCAGTTTGAGGATGATTCTGAGATGGAGGGTGCTTTGGAGGTCAAGGGCT